GAAGCAACCAATCAGAGAGCTGTCACGTGAGAAAATACCAACAAGCTTTTTGTTGATCGATGGGTTAAAGCTGTAAGATGCGGTTCGATTCACCCCTGTGATATCCATATCATACTCGTACAAGTGTACGGACTCGGCTCGAGAGAAGGAATGCGCGAACTGTGGTGCATGTGTTTGTCCGAAATACGGAGCCTAGAAAGGAGCCCCGCGCGTACGTTATTCTTCAATATCATGTGCCAACTGATGTCAGTTGTTGTCAGTTGAGGAGCCACGTGTTGGTTAGGATCACTGTGTTTCTTAAATGCGTTCAAACGGCTACATGGCCTCCTCACACATATTAAGGCTGATTATAATGTGTGAAATATTCGAATTCACATTACAAAGCATTCCCTGACTGCATTGTTCACCCCGAAGATAGTTCGGAGAACCGCGGAAGATTGTGTACCGGAGTCAAAAGAACGTGGTTTAGCATCTTTCCGTTTGATGTTAGATATGACCAATTTGCTTAATTCCTGCTAATACCCCAGATGGATTTGCACGAAGAAGTATTGCAATTGAAATTGTTTTGATCTTGTCTATAGTTAAGAACTTTGCCGTACTCCCGTTCTCTCCACTATTGAAACGGCATTTGGATACAGAGTCAGAAATGAGACAATTCAGCTCATTCGGTGTTTTCTTCTATTGACCAAGTGAATGGGGGATAGTGAAGTCTGTGTATTGTTGTTCTGATGGCTATCCCACTCCTTCACACACATGAAGTAAAAGAGGTTGGATTTAAAAACGGGAATTCGTCGTGCATATAGCAAATGAAGCGTGAACTGAAAGCTAGGAAGCAGTGCTGGACAGCTATTTCGACCTGGTTGGGTCCAATCAGCAGTGAGCAAATCCATCGACCCAACTGTGAATCGAACCCGGAACGTCACAGGCAGAATGCAAGCATGCTACCCACTCAGCCACCGGACAGCTGATCACACAGTTTTTCATTTTTCATTTACACGATATAGCACAACTCATCTTTGCAAGCTTGTTTCGGACCGCAGACCTCGACCATCTCGGCACTAGCATCATAAAGACCGCTAATAGTGCATGTTGACTGTGATCACTTTAAAGTACACACAGTCAAGCACATACACGATCGGATTCAATGTTGAACCTGTAACATCGCATTCGTGTTAAATCAAGCCGAATAGGGTTCTCGAATGCGATCAGAAAAGTGACTGGTTGTTTAGGCCAATGCACACAGCAAAGGGTGAATGAATTTTCCACAGAATGGGGCTACGGAATAGAGCAATTTGTCCCTCAGTCGAAAAAAGAAACAGACAGAAAATCTGTTTGGGTACGAAAATGAATTTTAGTTCTAGTGCCTAGAATGTTCTCTTCACTACATGTGAGCGCCTTCGTTGAATAACTTCTGATTCCGCATGCCCTCCGCTGAAGAATAGTTGATCCTAATTTGTCTATCTTTTCAAAGGTTCCCATTTTTTCTTAGCTTGCCGTTGGTTCCCGTTCTATTAGGTCACTAAACCGTTCTTATACCGGCCATAGTTTAGTAGCATCAAGCAATAGGATGGATAGAGCATTGAAGGAATTATCTGATCCAATGTAAAACGTCAAACAGAATACTTAACACGCACAAACACACCTAACCATCAACAACCCGATCCTTCTGTGCCACGAATTGTACCTGAAGAATACGTTGAGAATGAATGTGCAATTGATCGCCTCACATCATCACTCACGCAGAGAGGTGTGTGTGTGTGTGTGTGTGTGTGTGTGTGTGTGTGTGTGTGTGTGCGGTATACTGTTTCTACATGGAAGCAACTAGTAAATTTGCCATGATCCTTTCCGGTCTTGCGGTACATGAGCCGTATTGACCAATCGGTAACTAAAGTCCCGGATAAATTTATCACCTCTGGATTTTGACAAGCAAATAAGACGGTATTGCTAATATCTTTTATTGAAACAGTTTATTAATGAATGCACTGAAATGTTGAGTGAGGATTTTACTGGTCCCTAATCTCCGTAAGTACGTAATTGCCAAATGAACCGGTTTTCGACCAAATCTATTCTCCATCAATTCACCTCCAGGTTTCTGACCATTCACGATAACTGAGCTCACCCCCAAGGACCAACAGGCAATCGATCAATATTGAAATTCAAAACTATGAGTTTGGGTTTCCTCGGCAAGTTGTGATAGATGACATCCAACCATCTGGATTCAAGTGCTTGAGCTATTGACTTCCTTAATCACAATCATTCATTCCAGGTTATTTGAAAATTTAAATAAGGCAATAAAGCAAACGTCGTAAATGTTTAAAAGGAACTTAGTCACCTAATTCCACTTTAATCACTTCTTTCTTTCAACTGACGTGAATTTTAAGGGAGGAATTTTAAATAAGGGATATTTCATCCGAGTGGAAAAAAATCTTGGAAATGATGCTCATTTGCCTAACCAGTCAGTATTCAGCAGTTAAACAGTGATGAGAGAAATGCCCATCCAAATTCGGTCATTCAGATAGCTTAATATGAGGCCAGTTCTGATTGCGTTTTTCTATCCACATGGGTCCGAAAATCTGATAGTAATCAACGGAAAGTCACTATGAGGTGAAGTATAACTTATTTGAAAATTTTACCTTAGAAAAATCTTGTTTTATGGACAACACAGATATCTCAAGTTGAAAATCAGAAGAATTTCCCCACTGCATGTAATCCACGCTCGATTGAAATTCAGACCACGGAAACTAACGTGCCGTAGTTAGGGGTGGAGGTGGGGGCGGGGGTAAATAAGTTACAAGTACGTTGTTTTATGTCTGTTTATTGATTATATCACAAAAAAGTTATCTGATTCCCAACAGTGTGATGAATGAAACTTTTGCTAGTCGAAATTCGTGCATCCGCAAGCGCTGGAATAGTCTGAGATAAGTTTCAGTGGAATAATGGACAGATGCCACATCTTTCAGTCTACCCCAAACCATTTTTACCCATTTCGTTTCATTTTGGGGTAATAATTAAATCGAATTTTGGGCTTTGGAAATTTAGTGTGTATGCAGAGTTTTCGTTGACAGACATATTGTGAAGTAATTCACTATGAATATTCTATGGTTTGTACTAATTGACCTAATTAACTTATGTAGATTGTAACTGGTGTTCAGCCGTAATCAGTCAGACCCAGCCGATCAGTGATAAATCCAAATAGTTTACCTCGAAAGCAATAGAACGATCTTATCTAATGGGTTCTATTTCGTCATGTACGGATGGCATAATTCGTGTATTATGCACGGCGGATAGATATTTAGCCACAATAATTTGGCTCCACTGTTCTGCAGCCGCGAAACAGTCAGTCCTCAGGACGAATCGAGCACGGAGACAAATGGCGATCTGAGAACGGACACGGAGAAGGTTGTATATCGAGCGCATTTGTATTTGCAAACGGTGGTAGATAAAGTAGACTTTATTTCAGGCAACCAAGCCAAGTGGAGGGGTGTGCATCCAAGAGGTGGTCATCATTTGCTCAGTATTTAATCACGTGCCTCCAAAAGCCTCGTTACCGTAGGGGGTGGATGTCTAGGGTTGCGGCTGGTCACCCTTCCCTTGAACCTCGCGAAATGCTCCCATACGATCAAACGTCTGAAATAGCCTCTGCTGAGGAAGCTCTACTCACTCCCTTCTCGTGGCGAAGGTGTTTTCCCACCAAGGTGGGAGGACGAAAAACCAACATCCGGGGATATAACCGGGTTGGTGGACCACTGGTAGTTCACCTAGGGGAGTTGCCCAAAAACCCTCATTCCAAACTAACCAAGAAGGGGCGTAAGAAACACACACCTTCCCGGTTGTGGCAGTGGTCATCAGTTCGATTGGGCATTGAGGTGTTTTAGGCACCTTGGATGTTTAACCCCGTCCAAAGGGCTTATTATCCGCTTAAGTGGACACCGGACCCCAATGGATTGCGGTTTTTGGACATCACCCCGCTGTCTTACGGGTCAGGCTTTGGTTAGCCGAAGGCTCCGGTTGTGGATTCTTGAAGAAACTTCACCTGCCTTGGCTTGGGCAACCTGGTAATATTCCGCCCACTTGCAAATCATGGAAGGTCTTTCTTTTTCATAAAGACTATTGCACCATGATTTGTTTGACCCACAGTCTGGATTTACGTAGACATGTGTGAAAATATAAATATGTACGTGTACTTAAATGAAATCGAAAAGGTGACCTAGTGTAGACACGTATTAGGACTGATTGGGAATAGAGTATGGGGATAAATTTCCACGGACCAACGATAAAACACGAGTGATGATAGATGAACGAAAGGCCATAACACCAAACGAAGTTAATTTAAAATTAAAAACTGTCCTATCTCAAGAGAACTGCTTTGACTAGTTAATGACTTACTTGTGTAGCAATATATGCATTTTGTTTCCGGTAACCGTCCAGATAATTTGCGTTAATATAGTCTGAGTCTGGGTCGGCTGACGACAGGGGTTGGAGTACAACACGAGAATGATCGTAAGCGATCACATTTGCGTAGCGATTTTTCACTCGATTTCCCGGTCGATTAGAGTGCTCCCAGGTGAACTGACCACCCGGATCGATCGATTCAAATTCAGCCGCCATCAGACGACCGTTGTCAGCCTTCAGTGCTTGAACTATTTCCATCAGTTGTCCAATTCCAATCAGCCGGGATCCGCAGATACGACCTGCGTTGATCAGATCCAGACAAAAAATTGGTGAGAGCACATGAAAGAGTGGTGCTCTTTAAGATATTTCAATGAGTTTCAATCCCCAAGGAAAACTGTCTGCTATCATAAGCTAAGTTTTAGCAATGCAAATGGATTAACACCAAAATGTCCGATACATAAAAGTGAACGAATAAATTTCTGGGGAAGATAAACGGTCAACCATGTATCCACCTTCCACCCTTCCACCCATCCATTCATCCAATCATTAATTCATCCATACATCCTTCCACCCTTCCACCCACCCACTCACCCATCCATGCATCCATCCATCCATTCATCCATCCATCCATCCGTCCGTCCGTCCATCCATCCATCCATCCATCCATCCAT